AAAGATGGTGGTGCCCACAGCCAATAAGGAGGAAATATGCTAATTGACTTCCCAGCCCTCAAAGATGGCGGCACCCACAGCCACATGATGGTGGCACCCAATCCCCTCAGCCCCACTGTGGCAGCAGGCGTGCAGCAAGGCCTCTGGAGTCCCCTAGTTCCCTCAGTCCCCCAGCCTCCCAGGGCTGGCCCAAGGTGCAGGCAAGCCTTGGATGGCAGCTTCCCAGCCATCCAGGCCTGCCCCAGGCTCAGGTAACCAGAGCTGGCCATGGCTTGCGCTGCCAGCAGTGGCAGCAGCAGAGGTGTGATGGGGGCATCGCCTTCCCCTGATTGCCAGTTCGCCTCCCACCCCTGAAGGCTCCCGGATTGTGAGAGGGAGCAGGCTGAGCTGAGGGACCAGTGCTTGAATTTTCATGCACCAGGCTATATATATATATATATATATATATATATATATATATATATATATATCCTATCTAATAATAGACAAACATGATAATTAACCGTACCTCCAACACGCTTCCAATTGGCTAATCAGGGCGATATGCAAATTAACTGCCACCCAAGATGGCGGTTAACTGCCAATAAAGATGGCAGTTAATTTGCATACATAGGCACATACAGAGGCGAATGGTATTGGAAACCCAGGCGGCAGGCAAGAGCTGGGGGGCGGGCAAAGGTGGCCCTGCCGGCCGCCTTTGCCCACCCTCCAGCAGGTGATCACCATTGGAAAGCCTGGCGGCAGGAGAGGCAACAACCCCAGGCCAGGGTTGCGGGCTGCCTGTGGCCGGTGATCGCATTGTGGATCAGAGGGAGCAAGAGGCCGGGCACAGGCCAGCCGGCACCCCCGGATCCCCAGGCCGGGGGTGCCAGCTGGCCTGCTTCCCTGTGATCGCCATGGTGATAGGAGGGAGAGAGAGCCCTGGCGCAGGCCAGCCAGCATCCCCGGACCACCCGAGGGTCGGGGGTGCGGGCTGTCCTGCTTCCCCGTGGTCGCCATGGCATCCCCGGCACCTCAGTACCTGAGATGCAAAGGTTGGGGATGAAATGACTTTTCCCAACCACATCTGCAAATATCCTGGGCATCACTGAAGAGTTTACAACAACTCTCTTACTTGGCAAGGAAGAAAACAGTTGGCAACTGGAAACAATCCCTTACATCAAAGTTAAGGTCCCTCTGAGTAAAAAAAAAAATATTTCCAAAGTAAAGGAGGGAGCAGGCAAAAATAATAGGTTCTCATGACTTCCACTGAAGTTTGAGCATATGACAGAGTCAAAACGAACAGACAAATTAAAACAGACAGTGGGCCAAACTGATTTGGCTCAATGGATCGAGCGTTGGCCTGCGGACTGAAGGGTCCCAGGTTCGATTCCAGTCAAGGGCATGTATCTTGGTTGCGGGCACATCCCCAGTAGGAGGTGTGCAGGAGGCAGCTGATCGATGTTTCTCTCTCATCTATGTTTCTAACTCTCTATCCCTCTCCCTTCCTCTCTATAAAAAATCAATAAAATATATTTAAAAAAAAAAAGAAAAGTCAATGATGAGAGAGAATCATTGATCGGCTGCCTCCTATAGCCCCATACTGGGGATCAAGCCCACAACCCGGGCATGTGGCCTGACCTGGAATCAAACCATGACTTCCTGGTTCATAGGTTGATGCTAAACCACTGAGTCACACTGGCTGGTCTCAATTCTAATTTATAAATTCATTCCAAGGACATATACAGCTTGAAAAGATTTGGAAGTAGTTTCAAAAAAACTAGCTTTTAAGTAACAAGGAAACAGTTATAGAAGAAAGTTTAAATTAAAAGAAAAAATTGTTTTGATTTATTCAAGAGTGAGAACATCCTCCATGAAAATATGTACCTTGACTGTGGATGGTTGGGAGGCCTTATCACACCTTAGGAATTCAAATGCTTTTTACAATGAAAAGAGAGTTTCATCTCATTTCTCTACCAGGGTAGATGTCTGTCAATAGAAGGTGGACATCAATAAAAGGAGGGGCTTGCACAATCAATCCAGAAAGTCAGGAATCTATGAATAATCCAGAACCGAGTATTTATCTCCTCTGCCACACACCCTCCCTCCCAGCCAGTGAGCAAGATAATTACTCTTAAGTCAAGCTAAGTGCCCCCCAGTCACAGTGGCCCAATGCTGACATACAAAGCATACTAATAATTCTCACTCTGGCATAAAAGTGACAACTTTCTTGGAAGAAAAGCAGATACGGTAAATTTCTCAAAGTCTTCCTGAAACATTTTTTAAAGTAATTTTTACTTCTTTAGAAAAAATGCCATGGGAAACCATCTGTAATAAAATGCCCATTCTATAAAATAATTCATCTATACTAATAAAAGGGTAATATGCTAATTAGACTGGGAGACCTTCCAGATGTTCTTCTGGACAAAGCCATGGTGGCGGGGCCGAGGTAGAGGCAGTTAGAGGCCAAGAGGGGAGGGCAGTTGTGGGTGATCAGGCTGGTGGGGGGCAGGGCCATTGGGGGTAAGCAAACCAGCAGGGGGGCCAGTTGGGGACAAGCAGGCCACCAGTGGGGGTCAGTTGGAGGTGATCAGGACAGCGGGGGGGGGGGCAGTTTGGAGTGAGCAGGCCAGCAGGGGGACAGTTGGGGATGAGCAGGCCAGTGGGGAGGGAAGGTAGGGGCGAGCAGGCCAGTGGGGGTGGGCAGTTTGGGGTGATCAGGCTGGCGGGGGGCATTTGGGGGCAAGCAGACTGGCAGGCAGAGTGGTTAGAGGCAATCAGGCAGGCAGGTAGGCAGGTGAGTGGTTAGGAGCTGGCAGTCCTGGATTGCGAGAGGGATGTCCGACTGCCAGTTTAGGCCCGATCCCTGTAAACTGGCAGTAGGACATCCTTCGAGGGGTCCCAAATTGGAGAGGGTGCAGGCCAGGCTGAGGAACATACCCTCCCCCATGCACGAATTTCATGCACAGGGCCACTAATTATATATATATATATATATATATATATATATATATATATATATATATATATATATATATTGCAAATTAGGCCAGGAAACCGTAATGGGTCAGGACTGTACAGGAGGAGGTTGCGCACAGCAACAGGGGTGGGGCGGAACTAGGAACTGGCTCCCTTAGTAGTCCTGCAGGGTCAATCTCAAGAGGACAGGCAAGGTACCAATGGACCAGTGCTGCCAGCATGATCCCAACAGCACTGCCGGCCTCCTGGAACTTGGCCTCAGGCACTGAGGCTGCTTCCCCTCCCTTAGACTGGCTCCCTTAGTAGTCCTGCAGGTTGAATCTGAAGAGGACAGACCAGGCACCAACAGACATGAATGTGAGCAGACAGAAGGAAAAAAGACCTTCAAGGCCTGTCCAAGGTGGATTTGCATTTAAAACCAAGTGGGGTGGGTCTGGAGCTGCGCAGCACTGACAACCATGGCAGTCTCCCTGTCGGCAGCATGACTGAGGCTAGGAGTGTGAGGAGTGAGGGCCATGAAAGCTGGAGGCCTTGGCTGTGAACAGTCAGCTAATTTCAGCTCCCAGGCGGGCGCAATCAGGGAAGCCGGTGGAGCCTTTGCAAAAAAAAGAGAAGGCTGAAGAGGAATGATACTTCAGAAAGTAGACTAAAGAACAGCTGTAAGCCTTGAAGAAACAACATGAAGAAATCACTCATCATAAAAAGGAGATTGAGCATCTGCAGAAAGAAATTGAGCAGCACAAGCAGAACATCAAGAAACTGAAAGATCATGATACTGTGGTGGTGTCAGGTGAGGGACAGCCATATTTGCCAGTGCGGCCCAAGCTGTCAACAACAAAAAGTGTGCGGGAGCTCAGCAGGCACATGGATGGGTGCACGGATGCCAGGACCAACCGACACGGGGCGGGGGGGGGGGGGGAGTTGGGGGGGAATGTCTTACGAACCGAACTTGACCACACACATGCCCACCGCTTCCCTCAACACCACTGGGAGCGTCCACCTGCCTTCCACCAACATGGCAACGTCCTCCCAGTACCGCCAGCTGCTGAGTGACTAGGACCACCATCTCTAGGCTACACGTAGGGAACAGAGAACAGCCAGGTTCCCAGAGAAAATATGCTGAGCTGTTGGCAATTATCATAGAGCTGGGGAAGGAGGTCAGACCCACGTACACGGGCAGCAAGAGCGCGATGGAGAGACTGAAACGAGGCATCAGCCACACGACAGGGCTGATTCGGGAGTACTTGGCCGAGATGGAGCGGAACACCAGGTCTTAGCCCCTGAGTCAGCGTGAAAAGCTTTCCATCTTCTTCCAAGAAGTGACAGCTCATTGCCCCTGCCCCCCTTCAGATGAAACTTGGTTTCAAAATGGTAACAACTTGGTTTCTCCTCCCCGTGTCCCTCCCGTGGTTCATCAGGCTCTGAACCTCCCATCGCTAAGATGGAGAAGAGATTTTTGCAGTTATTAGATTTACATATTAGTTAGGAACTACCCAGGGCATTTTGTGTGTTTTTTTAAAGCATTGATTTACATGATGCGTGTCAGTTGCCTATCACAGCAAACTGTAGTTGGCCTTGCAGATACCGGTGTTTCACTTCGGGATATATTTCTGTTCCTCACATGGTTCTTTATGTCTCTCTTCTGAGCTGATCCAACTCTGAGGGTTTGTTTCAGTGAGTCCTGAGGCAGCGCTTTAGTAGCCAATGCCTGTTCGCCACACAGTATAAATTCTGCTCAATGTAACTTTTTTTTTTTGCTTAAGCATTTGCATGAATATTAGTACTTTGAAGTTGATCTTTAAAATGCACAAGTTATAAATACAGAAGAAAGAGCATCTTATGGAACTTTTCCTGACAAGGACCCCTGAAATTTCCCCTAAGGATGTATGTAGATTTCAGTTCCGCCTTTCCCATCAGTGGATCCAAACATCTGGAAGAAAGTGACTAATACTGTTTGCATCTTGTATGTATTTATTACTTTATGTAATAAAGCTTATTTTCATTAACAACAACAACAACAACAAAAAACAAATTGAAAGATCATGCTGATGCTTAAGTGCACACAGTTCCCCATAGAATGGCTACATACTGTCCACTTCTATGAAGACATAGTTCTGGTAACTAATATCTATCTTTGCTGCCAACAGATTATAATAAATTGTCATCAGTGGAGAAAAAAAAAAACAAGTGGGTGATGTCAGAATTACCCAAGCGCCCCCCCAACCCCTTCACCTGCCCAGACGCCTAGGGTCCCTTTACAGCTGGGCTGAGCCCAGGGCTTCCCAGTGGCCTGGACACTAGGCCTGACAGCCTCTCTGGCTTGACCCAAACATCTAAAGTTCGCATTAGTTGCCAACTTAAGAAATTGGAGCATTCACCTAAAATCAGGATTCCTCACTTCTCTTTCCAAGGGGGTTGATTGGGCTACCAACCAAGGGTGGTTGGTGTCACTTCAACTTTAAGAGGAACACCCAGCTTGGGGGTGTGGTGAGGAGGAAGCTATCCGTACAGACAGTTCAGTTATGTAAACTCCCGCTGACTGTGGCACAGCCCAACAGTGTGGCCACTCAACTGCAAGGCAGCACAGCCATGAAACAGTGTGGCTGTTAAACAAGGTCCCTCTCCAGCTTTCAGGGGGCTTCACCTAGTCCAACCCACTGCACTCCACTCGGCCCTGAGCTGTCCAGTGCACCACACTGCCCCAGTGAGACAGCTTCAATGTTTCAGCTCCAGCAGACAGAACACATCCCAGCGGAAAGGGAAAGTGTAGCCCTGGCCAGTGTTGCTCAGTGGATAGAGCCTCCGCCTGAGGACTGAAGGGCCCGGAATTCAATTCCTGGTCAGAGCACATGCCTGGGTTGTGGGCTTGATCCCCAATGTGGGGCGTGCAGGAGGCAGCCAATCAATGATTCTCTCTCATCATTGAGGTTTCTATTTCCCTCCCTCTCTGAAATTAATCTATACTAATAAAAGGGTAATATGATAACAACTTCTGGACGACTTTCCAGATGTCCTTTCGGACAAAGCCATGGTGGCGGGGCCGAGGCAGAGGCGGTTAGGGCAATAAGGCCAGCAGGGACGAGCAGTTAGGACAATCAGGTTGGCAGGGGAGAGCAATTACGGGGATCAGGCCAGCAAGTGCACACAGTTCCCCATAGAATGGCTACATACTGTCCACTTCTATGAAGACATAGTTCTGGTAACTAATATCTATCTTTGCTGCCAACAGATTATAATAAATTGTCATCAGTGGAGAAAAAAAAACAAGTGGGTGATGTCAGAATGTTTACATCTGAGAGGAATTAGGGAGAACAGGCTGGCAGGCAGGTGAGAAGTTAGGAGCCAGAGGTCCCAGATTGCGAGAGGGTGCAGGCTAGGCTGAGGGACCCCCGTCCCCCCATGCATGAATTTCATACACCAGGCCACTAGTTTTTAATAAAACAATGGTATTTGCAATGTAGCATATCTTGTCCTCTGGAAAATGTACCATAGAGGAATAGATGAAAATAGAAAACATGAGGCTAGACCTCCTATGTCTGCTGCCATCTTTAATCATTGGTTGGATGTTAGGAATTCAGAAGATAAAACACACACACACACACACACACACACACACACACACACACACACACTGAAGAATTAAAATACTTTTATTATAGAGAAAATTTGTTTTAAAACAAATAATTAACTATTTTTAATGTATTTCTTAATTATTTAGGAAATCATCATCTGGGAAAGAAAAGCAAAGATTGTCAGTCAGAAACTAAGTTGGAAGCAAGAAGGGCTGTAACCAAATAGCGAGTTTGGTTATAGCCACTTATTTAAGATTCCTAAAATGTTGTAATTCAGATTAAAGAAAGAATAACGTGTCATTATATAGGAAAGTTATTTTTCTGTAATTCCCTCTTGATTTTTTGGAAAAACAGCTATATCCCTCCACATAAAACAGGCAAAAGATTTATGAACTCTTTTCAACATTCTATGACATGCTGTCTGAAATTCACAGGCTTGAACAAATGAATAAATATTCATTAAATCTGCTTTCCTCTTTTTCCTAGGTACCTCCCATACTCCTTGATAAGCAGTTCTCTGAATTCACTCCGGACATTACACCAATCATCTTGGCAGCCCACACAAATAATTATGAGATAATAAAACTTTTAGTTCAGAAAGGAGTCTCGGTGCCCAGACTCCATGAGGTCCGCTGTAACTGTGTTGAATGTGTCTCCAGTTCAGATGTGGACAGCCTTCGCCACTCACGCTCCAGACTCAATATCTACAAGGCCTTGGCTAGCCCTTCTCTCATTGCACTGTCAAGTGAAGATCCTTTTCTCACAGCCTTTCAACTAAGTTGGGAGCTTCAGGAATTGAGCAAGGTGGAAAATGAATTCAAGTCTGAGTATGAGGAACTTTCACAACAGTGCAAACAGTTTGCTAAGGACCTACTGGATCAGACAAGAAGCTCCAGAGAACTAGAAATCATACTTAATTACCGAGATGATAATAGCCTCATAGAAGATCAAAGTGGAAATGATCTTGCAAGACTAAAATTGGCCATTAAGTACCGTCAAAAAGAGGTGAGTGTTGCCAGAATTTACCCATCAAAACATCATAATTTTAATCACAGTGCAGGAAAATGTTACTCCAAAATTAGGTATGAGGATTCTATTTATTTATTTATTTATTTATTTATTTATTTAATCTTTTCCATTATCATTTATCCCCTCTGTGTATGAGTATTTTCTATTTAACTGTTATGTGGATGATGTTTATTATTTGATTGATATTTATTTGTCAGATTGATAATTATGAAATACATTGAAGAGTGATAAATGATTTTGTAATTGGTGATGGTTTAGTATCTGTTAAATGAACATATTTACTTTGGCATAATGCAACAAATGAATAAATTTTAAATTTTTCAGACTGATCTTTTTGGTACTCTCATGTGTAATTCTTGTTACTTTAGGTTGTCATGCATCTTTCTCCAAGCTTCTGTTTTCTCATCTACTTAATGGACTTCATATTTATAATATTTGATTATACATGTGTTTATACATATAAAAGGTGTCTCTCACAGATTTATAGAAAGTGTAAAATGTTTGGATATATTTGAAGACTCTTAGTGAATTATAAGGTGTTATATTAATAAAATACATTATTAGAAATTATTAATAAAGAAAAAGCCTTTGCTCCAACAGCAGATAAAAGTACTAAAACCTTTCTCATGTTTGGCTTAGTTTCTTGATTGTTCAGCAATAAGAGGTTAAGAGGAAACTCCAAACTTTTTTCCACCGAGGCTGCACTAGTTCGCATTCCCAACAGCAGTGTACAAGGGTTCCCTTTTCTCCACATCCTCACCAATACTTGTCATTTGTTGATTTGTTGAAGATAGCCATTCTAACAAGTGTGAGGTGGTACCTCGTTGTCATTTTGATTTGCATCTCTAGAATGATTAATGACTTTGAGCATTTTTTCATATGACTTTTGCCCTTCTGTATGTCCATTTTGGAGAAGTGTCTATTAAGGACCTTTGCCCTTTTTTTAATTAGATTGTTTATCTTCCTTTTGTTAAGTTGTATGAATTCCTTATAGATTTTGGAGGTCAGTAAATATTAGTAAAGATTCACTTTGAGACTATTAGGTCAGGAAATTACTTGAGCCACTATTGTCTCAAATAAACAATCGATGCATAGCTTTTGCCCTTGCCAAAGCTCAAGGTCCATCAGCCTTCTGGGTTCCTTGTTTACACTTTCCTGATAGTGCAGACAATGGATAGCTTCCAGCATAGGGGTGATCAGGCAGTCAGGCAGAAATGGTTAGAGATGATCAGGCAGGCAGGCAGAGGCAGTTAGGGGCAATCAGGCAGGCAGGCAGAAAGGTTAAGGGTGATCAGGCAGTCAGGCAGAGGTGGTTAGGGGTGATCAGGCAGGCAGGCAGAATGGTGAGGGGCGATCAGGCAGGCAGGCAGGAGGTGAGCAATTAGGAGCCAGTGGTCCTGGATTGTGAGAGGGATGTCTGACTGTGGGATCAGGCCTAAACTGGCAGTCAGACATCCCCCGAGGGGTCCTGTATTGGAGAGGGTGCAAGCCGGGCTGAGAGACCACCCCCCTCCCCCCATGCATGAATTTTGTGCACCGGGCCTCTAGTATTAAAATAAAGAGTTGTCCAAGACAAAAAAAATTAATATTAATTTCTTATATATTAACTGAAAGGTTAACATGGTGATATGCAGACAGGCTAAATAGCCATCTCAGAGGGTGGATAAAGAAAAATGTAATTTATTTTGGAAAGGGGATGGAGGATGGGATATCCAAAGGGAAGAGATGCACAGCACTGAGCGAAGGTGATATAGAGTCCGTGACGGCAGCACCCAAGAGCTGGAGTTTTATCTTATATGCAGTCACTAGCAGGAAGCTCTTGTCATTAGTGGGTCAGGGAGCTGAGTTTGTGGACTTGGAATTTGGATGGAATGCAGATATGCGATCAGGTCTTTAGAACAGTTTCAATTTCTTATATGGTCTGAGTCCTGGTGTTCAGCAAGTTTTTCCTGGTCTTTGTCCTCTGATGGCAGGAAATTTACAAATGGCTATTAAGGATTGTATTGCCATATAGTACTAGTAGTTCCCTACTCTTTCTATTTGTTAGTAATTATTCTTATGGAATCTGGGTGAAAGTCTCTATCTTCTGTCAGTATTCCTAAGGAACAAGGCCTCCTGGTGCTGTTGGCAGGGATATATGAATAAACAATTCCCCACATATCAGAAACCAACCAGCCAGTGGTTTAGTATGTCCATTATTATAAGGGAGGGTGAAATTATCAGGACAATTCATGTTTTAGTTATTAGATACTATAAGACAAAATTAGAACAACTGGTAAAAGTCAGACATTTGTCACAGGGAGCTACTGCAGCAATATTGAGAGAAAATATGCCTTCATCCTTTTTCTGGACAATGGGTCCCAATGCATAAAGGTTCCGGTATGTGACTTTCTTCCCAAAATGAATAAAATGAGTATAATTCTATATATTAGCAATAGGTGTCCCAACTCCTACTACACAGGATGTAAAGGTCTGTTCTACTTATGTTCCCCCTAAAAGGCAAAAGTCAGAGATATTAAGAACATTTTTTGCTAAGTTCACCCAAATATTTTTGTATCTTCCTTCTGAATGGAATGAATTCTTCAGCCAAACCAGCATTGGTCAAGAGCATGATTATAGTAAATTTTGTCTTCTAAAGATGACCTTGAGGTGTTTCTTGGGTTTGGTTACCCATTCTTCCCCTTCTGGCACCCTCTTCACCTGGTATAATGGATCTAGGGCTTTATCCCTGACCGCTCCAGAGCAGTTGGAATAGTGAGAAGCACATCCCAGGATCCCATCCATGTTGATTGTCTGGTGATCTGGTTTTCCATGTTTTGAGTAGAACTCTGTCTCCTGCTAAGAAGGAATGTAGCATACCTGTGACAGAAAAATTCCTAGCACATGCTAAATTATTAATAAAGTCACTATTTGATAAAGATGCCGCATATAATTCTTAATTTTAACATCATATCTACATATACATCTGTACCTATAGCATCCTGAAAGGGCCTCCCATATATTATTTCGTAGGTTCTCAAACCAATCCCACTTCAGGGAGCTACTCTAATCCTGAGCAGGAATATTGGCAACACCTAATTCTAATCCAGATGAGTCTCCTGACATAATTTGGCTATATTATTTTTTTAGGGCATGGTTAATTTTCCAAACCTTTCCTGAGGCCTAGATGATATCTCTAGGGACAAAAGGTCAGAAGGCCTAACTGTATAACCAGCAATATGCTAGGGGAGGAGAGGCCACTCTAAGGGCAAGGTCCCTACAATTGTCCCTTACTAGGCACCCGTGACCTTCTGTACCTGGCCTATCATACTTGCTCAGCTCATATCTGTTTAACATTACACCCCTCAAGGATTTTTGGGACTGAATTCTTTCATAGAAAAAGGGCATAGGATCTCTTCTGTAGTTGTTTCCTGCTGAAAGGAAGTGATGTTTTCCGTCTGAGCCAAAAGATCCTTGCTCTCTGTCAGAGGGATGATGAGGCCTGGGCACAAAAGGAAGTTGTAATTGTGTATAGGGGTGGTATTTCCTGAATAAAAATAGGGTTTGTACCTCAGTGGAGAAAAATTGTTTTATAAATTTCAGTATCACTGGAGGAAAACCTAGAATGACAATAATTATGATAAATAATCTGATAAAAGGAAAAAGTACTGGTTGTTAATAATTACAAGTAAAGGATGATAAAAAATGAAGTATTAGTTTGGATGGTTGTAGTCAAATACTTAAGAAAACTAGATAAAAATTTAGGATCTAGTTTAGTTTAGCTCATAGGTGAAAAAATAAAACTTTGAAGAACTGGATTAGAGTCTAACATTTAAAACTATGTATATGGAGAATTTTCCCCCTAAAATTACTCTCATTTTTGTTAAAGAGGCAAATAAAGACCAATTTATTTACTGTAGTAAGTCTAGTTTCAATTTGGCCTGATTGTTTGCATGAACATAATAAGAATAACAATTGATCATATAGGCTTTTAAAAAAATCTGCTGTGCTGGAATTTCAAGACTGAGCCTTAATTAGCCCGTCAGGACAAATAATCTGAGTGGCCTAGCTGCCATCAGGTTTTCCTGCAATACCTGTAGACTTGGGTGAATTCCTCAAGTTATTGAGGTCCCCAAAGATGTCGTGAGGTTCTTTCCTTGCCATCTCCCAGGAAAGCAACCTCATTCCTTACCTGGAAAGACTATCATGAACCATGTGACCAAACAAGATACCAGGCTTTCTCCAAGGGGCCCATATTGGCTTCATAATCAATCTTCACACTTTAAGACTTTTTGGTGACATCCCGAGACCAGGCACATCTCTCTCAGACATGACATTCCAGTCAAAGTCTTGGATAATTGGAAACTGGTCTTATTGAATTCATGCAAAGAGCTATGTTGCCATAACTCACTCATTAAAAATTGCCAAATTTTGGAGGGATTAGTAGAAAGAAAAATAAAAAGGCTTTAATATTGCTTAAGAAGGTATAATTTACCAAATTTTTCTAGGGAAATAAAAACAAATTTTCTTATATTTGGAACACAGATTTTCATATAACTAATCTTTTGTTTGTCCTGATTACTTGCTAGTGTTAATCTTTTAAAGATATTTATATTTTTAATACATTTCTATTGATTTCAGAGAGGAAGGAAGAGGGAGACAGAGACAGAACCATCAATGATGAGAGAGAATCATCAATTGGCTGTCTCCTGCATGCCCCACACTGGGGATCCAGCCCACAATCCAGGCATGTGCCCTGACCGGGGAATCAAACCATGACCTCCTGGTTTATAGGTTGATGCTCACTGACCCAGGCCGGTCAGGCAATTTGCTAATATTTCATGTTTTCAATTATTCTTTTATTTCTTTATTGATTAAGGTATTATATATGTGTCTTTATCCCCCCATTATCCTCTCACTACCCCCCACTCATGCTCTCACTCCCCTGGTGTCTGTGTCCATTGGTTAGGCTTATATGCATGCATACAAGTCGTTTGGCTGATCTCTCCCCCTTACCACCGCCCTCCCCTACCTTCCCTCTGAGGTTTGACAGTCTGATCGATGCTTCTCTGTCTCTGGATCTGTTTTTGTTCATCAGTTTATGTTGTTAATTATATTCCACAAATGAGTGAGATCATGTGATATTTATCTTTCTCTGACTGGCTTATTTCCCTTAGCATAATGCTCTCCAGTTCCATCCATGCTGTTGCAAATGGTAAGAATTCGTTCTATTTTACCATAGCACAATATTCCATTGTGTAGATGTACCAGTTTTTAATCCACTCATCTGCTGATGGGCGCTTAGGCTGTTTCCAAATCTTAGCTATGGTGAATTGTACCGCTATGAACATAGGGGTGATTATATCCTTTCTGATTGGTGTTTCTAGTTTCTTGAAATATATTCCTAGAAGTTGTATCACTGGGTCAAATGGGAA